TGACAAATGTTAACAAGTTCTGAATGTAGGTGAAGAATGTATGAGTGTTTATTGTGCTACTCTTGCAACTCTTCTGCAGGTTTACAATTTTTCAAAGAGTTGGGAAACAACATTTAAAAGTTAAGGATTCTCTCTGACGAGGTTGCTCAGTTGACAGGAGCATGGTTCCCTGCACCAAAAGAATGCAGGTTCGCTTCCAAGTCAGAGAACACATCTAGTTTTTGGGTTCGATCCCCAGTTAGGACACATACAGAAGGCAACTGATCAATGTTCTCTCTCTCTCTCTCTCTCTCTCTCTCTACGATCAATAAAAACAACCTGGCTCACTGGTTGAGCATCGACCCATGCACCAAGAGGTCGCTGGTTCAATTACTGGTCAGGGCACATGCCCAGGTTGTGGGCCAAACCCCCAGTGGGGGGCATGCAGGAGGCGACCAATCAATGTTCTCTCTTATCGATGTCTCTCTCTCCCTCTCCCTTCTTCTCTCTCTAAAAAAAATCAATAAAAAAAAATCCTCAGATGAGGATTTAAAAAAAAAAAGTTATAAATTCAAACAAAATCAACACAAAATAGGGAAAGGTACAAAGAATGATTTAGCCCTTGTTTTCGGTCTCCCAGAATTAAAAGTTAACACTGTCATAGTTGCTTCTAGCCTTTATTTATTTATTTTTTCTTTGTTGATTTTTAGAGAGAGAGGAAGGGAGAAGAGAGAGAGAGAGAGACATCGATAAGAGAGAACATTGATTGGTTGCCTCCTGCATGCCCCCCACTGGGGATTTGGCCCACAACCTGGGCATGTGCCCTGACCAGGAATCAAACCGTCAACCTTTTGGTGCCTGGGTCAACGCTCAACCACTGAGCCACACTGGCCAGTGATTCTAGCCTTTAAATAAAAACTACAGATAGGCCCAGCCTGTGTCGCTCAGTGGTTGAGCATCGACCCATACACCAGGAAGTTGCCAGTTCAATTCTCAGTCAGGGCACATGCCCAGGCTGTGGGCCCAATCCCCAGTGGGGGCATGCAGGAGGTGGCCAATCTGTTCCCTCTCATCAATGTGTCCATCTCTCCCTCTCCCTTCCTCTCTCTCTAAAAATTAATAAAGGAAAAAAACAACAAAAAAACTACAGACAGCATCCCGTCTGTCACCATCTCCATTATTCTTACTGCCTTTTAGAAATTGTGAAATTATAGGTCAGATATGCCCATTTTCAACTTTCCTAAGTACTGCAAACATTGTCTCTCAAGACAGCTGTACCAATGTAAATTCCACCAGTAATAAAAACATTAAAAAAAAAAAAAAATGGATTGCCTGGCCGGTGTGGCTCAGTGGATGAGCATTGGCCCAGGCACCAAGAGGTCGCCAGTTCGATTCCTGGTCAGGGCACATGCCTATGCCCAGGTTGTGGGTCTGATCCCCAGTGGGGGGCATGCAGGAGGCGGCTAACTGATGTTCTTTCTCATTGATGTTTCTATCTCTCTCCTTCTCTCCTTCTAAAAAAAAAATCAATAAAGAAAAAAATTTTTTTTAAATGGATGTGTTTTATTCCTAGAAATAAAAAACCCAGCATTATAAATTAACTAATTTATTTATTTACTCAGCAAATATTTACTGAGTACTCATAATGTGCCAGCCACTATTCCAGCAGTGGTGAAGACAAAGTTCCTATTCTCATAGAGCTGACATTTGAATGGAGAGATAAAGATTAAAATACTAAATAAGCCTGGCTCATGTGGCTCAGTGGTTGAGCATCCACCCATATACCAAGCAGTCAGGGCACATGCCTGGTTGTGGACTTGATCCCCAGTGGGGGGCGTGCAGGAGGCAGCTGATGAATATTTCTCTCTCATCAATGTTTTTATTTCTCTCTCTCTAAAAATCAATAAAAACAAAAACAAAAAAATCAATAAAAACATATTTAAAAAAAATAAAATACTAGCCCTGGCCGGTTTGGCTTAGCGGTTAGAGCATCGGCCTGCGGTCCAGAGAGACCCGGGTTCAATTCTCGCTAAGGGCAGGTACCTCGGTTGCAGTTTGTCCCCGGCCCTGGTTGGGTTGTGCAGGTGGCAACCACTTGATGTGTCCCTTTCACGTCAATGTTTCTCTCTCTCTGTCTCTCTCCCTCCCACTCTACCTGAACAACAACAACAACAAAAAAGGAAAAAATGTTCTCAGGTGAGATAGCAGACAGGTAGATGCTATAAATAAAATATAGGGACAGGGGACAAAGAGGATAATGTAAGGACACAGAATGTAGCAGGCAAAACCACTTCAAGGCAGTGATTTGTACACTATTTCAGCACCAACAGCTGTTTCATTAAATATTCTTCCTCACCTTTCATATCCCCCCTTTATTTTTTCCAGAAAAAGTTTGCTGCAGTGGTTTTCCATTATAGCTATTATTTTAGAGGGGGTAAAAACCCCACACCAGATGTTGACAGGTGCTTTACAAATAGGTGCAAATTTCAAGTCACACATATTCTGGAAAAAAAAAAAGTTGAGTGATTTGTCAGTGAGAAGTCTGATGCCAAAATGAAGTTGAACTGCAAAAATTTTAAATGGAATTTTTAAAAAAATGACTTACCAACTCTCCAACTCTATAATCTGCACGTTTACTTTCTATCACATATGAAAAGAAGGTAATAGCAATAGGAAATAAATTGAAGAGAGATCCTGAGGTTTTTCATTTAAGGATAGGCAATTCTTTAAAAGCCACACTATCCATATGATATAAAGAAAACCAGCACAGACCTGGCCGGTTTGGCTCAGCAGTTAGAGTGTTGGCCTGCAGTCCAGAGGGACCCGGGTTCGGTTCCCCCTAAGGGCGCATACCTCAGTTGCAGTTTGTCCCTGGCCCTGGTTGGTTGTGCGGATGGCAGCCACTCGATGTGTTACCTTCACGTTGATGTTTTTCTCTCTCTCTCTCTCCCCCCCTCCCACTCTGCCTGAACAAAAAATGGAGAATGTCCTCAGGTGAGGATAAAAAAGAAAAGAAAACCAGCACACACTAAAACTTCCTATCACAGGCTTACACAAGAGCTTAGAGGGCTTCATCACTTGGAACTAGGAGATGCAATAATAAGAACATTTTATTTTATTTTTTATCCTCACCCAAGGACACTTTTCCACTTTTTGTTCAGATAGAATGGAGGGAGAGAGAGAGAGAAACATCAATGTGAAAGAGACAAATCGAGTGGCTGCCACCCACACGACCCAACCAGGGCCGGGGACAAACTGCAACCTAGGTACGTGCCCTTAGCAGGAACCAAACCTGGATCTCTCTGGACCACAGGCCAACGCTCTAACCGCTGAGCCAAACTGGCCAGGGCAATTTTAAAGCCAAAGTACTCACTACGCTTTCTTCCTCAGATTATTTTGCTGGTTTCCCAGTACCCTGAATGAAGTACCTGTGGCTAGTCTATCTTTCAAAACTGTAACTCTGAGCTCAGCCAAGTATTTTTTACTTCCCTCTTTATAAAATTCCCTCTGTCATCTACATTTATCATCCTATCTGTCTTCTTTCTCATCTAATGATTCAATATTCTTCCAGGCAGATTTATATATCCCCAACAAACTTATTTCTACTTCAGGAGTTCTTAATTTCTGTGTGCCATGGATCTCTTTGGTAGTCTGGTGGAGCCTATGGAACCCTTCTCAGATTGTTTTTATTTATTTATTTTTGTTCATCCTCACCCAAGGACATTCTTCCATTGGTTTTTTAAATAGAGTGGAAGGGAGAGGGAGAGAGAGAGAAACATCGAAGTGAGGCGATTGGTTGCCTTCTGCTTTACCCTTCCTAGGGAGGGGCTAGAGCCTGCAACCCTTGTACGTGCACTTGACTGGGAATTGAACCCACAACCCTTCGGTCCACTAAGCCAAACCCGCCAGGGCTCAGATTGCTTTTAAATGTATAATTAAACATATGAGTTTACAAAGGAAACCAATTATAATGAACTATTAGCAAAACAATTTTTGAAAACCCTGATACAGTAAGATACATGCAGTTTTAGCCTTACATTAAATAACAAGATCTAACAGTGGTTCTAACAATACCAAAAATTTGAAGACATTATAAGCATAAATGATATTTTGAGATATCTGCAACAACTATAAACATGATACAATAATATCTGTAATTTGTACTGGTGACAAATTCACAGGCATTTCTAATTCTACTGTGGTTTGTTGCTTAAATCCATAATGGAAGGAAATAATAAATTACAGTTTTCCTCATTCTAGTTCAAGGACTCCTACCCCACTCCCCCAGTTCTATTCACAACCCAGTGAATCTCAGGTTAAAAACTCGTTTATAATTCAAAGCATTGCTCAAACTGATTTCTGTCAACAATTTTAAAATAAAAACACTGGGCTCTCCTCTGACCTAGCTCTTATCTGAACAAATCACCATACCTCCCTTGTTTTTACGCAGCTTTATACACAGAGCCCTGTTTATTTCTACGGTTTGCGTGGCCAGCACCCATTTAAATTTTGCCAGTCAATAAAAGGTGAGATTGAAGGAAAGGAGATGGAAGCAAACCAACAGTCCTTCACTCCCATACCTCCAACAGCAGGTGGAAAGACACTAAGTATAGTGTGTGTTTATGGCAAGTGGGCTGCCCGCCAGACCGGTGAGTCCCGCTTGTCAAGAGTCCCCGAAGCACGACATCTTCACCAGCGGCACTCAGAAGACATTCCACCTCATTCTCGCCTCCTATACTCGGTTCCCTACCTGCTTCGCCTCCCATCCCATCCCCCACGCGACCCTCCCTCTTGCCAGCCCCAGGCCACCCTTGGCCCGGCGCGCCGCAACACCGCTCCCCTCGGTCTAACCGCGTCTCTCCCCACCCCCACTTCCCCCGACACTAGAGGGAAGGGCCCAGGGTCAGCTGAACCCCGCGGCCCGACCGTCAGGCGCAGGCTGCGGCCCAAGGCCGGAGCAGCCCGGTCACCAGACAGGGAGCCGAGCACTCGGCGCGGGTTAACTGAGGACAGACACTCACCAAGAGAATCATACGGAGAAAGGAACCGAGGTCTCCACCCGATCGCCACTCGGCCTCGGAGCAGTCGCCCTCGCCGCGAACTGCCACCACCGCCGCTGCCGCCGCCGCCACTCACTAGCAGGCTTCCCTGCGTCCTGCGGTGGCGCTGCCGCCATGCCATTGCGCGTGCGCGGCGCCGCGGGGACCACTGGGACTGGTAGTTCGGCCGGCGGCCAGCAGCGCCCCCCACCGCGCTGTCCCCACCGCCTTCCGCTATAGCGGGTCAAGTCCGCTACCAGTTTGAGCGGTCCTGGGCGACCACAGGACAGCCAAACGCCTTCCGGGAACTCGTTCTTCACCAAACACTGGGTCTCGCTTCCGCTTACAGTGCTTCGGGAAAATCTGCAAGTATTAGTGTAAAGCGAAACAATTCGGAACTTTTACGTTTTCGATAACCGTCACTAGCCCAGAACACATCATTCCAAACACAACTCACTCTCTGTCTTCCTCTCCCTCTCTTCCGTTCCCTCTCTCTCTCCTTTACTCCCTCCCACCCCCTTTAGTAGTATCTGGATTTTTAAACCTGATTTCCCACTCCTCATGTTGTCAAACTTTACTTATTGTAAACTTGACCATAACAGTTTTTAAGTTGATTGACAATTTACCTAATACAATTTTTTTTTTCAAGAACAATTCAGATATGCAGTTGAGCTGAACAGTAATAGAAACTTGAGAGTTGGAAGACACCTTAAAGGTTATTGGTCCAACTCTTCCCGGGCAGGAATTCCCTCTTGCACATTCCAGCTCTATTTCCACAGTTCAAATTTCAGGGAGCTCACTACCTAAGTAAGGCAGCCAGTTCATTGTTTGACAGCTCTAAGTGTTAGAACTTCTGCCACTTGCTGGAGTGAAATCTGCTTCCCTTTTACTTCCTCGTACTGCTAGTAGTTACGCTGCCTGGAGCAATATAGAATGTTTGCCACTTGACACCCTTTCAAAAAATTCAAAACAATGATTATATCTTCCAACACTAAGTCTCCAGGCAAAAAAATAAAATAATAATCACTTTAACTATTTAAAATGTGAATAAGCTCCTAGACTACTTTCCATTTAGTCATCCTCCTCGATGTATTTATTACCTTTAAAAACTGTCAAAATTTGCTTCACATTTATTGCCTCATTTTATTACCACAATAGCGTGCTATATTAAGCTGGTCAGATATAATTGCTATCATATTGCCATTAATCTGATTCAAGAATTCAATTTGGCCCAGCTGGTGTGGCTCAATGGTTGAGCAACGACCCATGCACCAAGAGGTCACTGGTTTAACTCCTGGTCAGGGGTTGCAAGCTGGATCCCCAGCAAGGGGCATGCAGGAGGCTGCCAAAAGATGTTTCTCTCTCATCAAATGTTTCTCTCTCTCTCCCTCTCCTTTCTTCTCTCTCTAAAAATCAATAAAACATTTTTTTAAAAGAACTCAATTCCATCAAAGATTATTTACGAGCTGTTATAAAGCATTGCCCAAAGCACCAGGGGAATGAAAAAACCAACAGGACGCAGTTTGCACTCAAGGGTGAAAGGATAGTTCACACAGATTAAGGATAGTAATAGTAAACTAATATAAAATGTTATGAGATTCCAAAGAAAGGTTTTATCAAGTTGAGGGACCATGACCCTAGAAGAAAGTGACACTGGATGACTGGATTTCAAGAAGGAAAAGGGCATGTGAGGATTGAGAACAAAGAACCCAACCTAAGCAAAATGAATACACAAATCAACATGTTCACAGTTTGCTCTCAATACTTAGTACTCTAGATGGGCTGGAGCACACAGGCCAAGGAGGAGAGGAAAGAAACTTTCTGAGGGTCCTGAAGAAACTTAACGGGGAGTGGTAAGTAAACAGAGCACTGGGATGGTCAATTAATTGTTCTGAGCCCTATTCTGTTATCTACAAATGAAGAACTTGGTCTGGCTGGTGTGGCTCAGTGGTTAAGCACTGACCCATGTACCAAGAGGTCGCCAGTTCAATTCCCAGTCAAGACACATGCCCAGGTTGTGGGCCAAATCCCCAGTGGGGGGCATGCAGGAGGTGGCCAATCAATGTTCTCTCTCAGGGATGTTTCCATCTCTCTCTTCCTCTCACTTCCTCTCTAAAATCAGTAAAGGGAAAAAAAACTTTATAAAAACTAAACAAAAAAAGAAAAAGAAAAACTTGAACTAGATCAGCAGTTTTCAATCTTTTTTTCCACCCAGCACACCCAAGTAATATAACCCCAGACATCAAATAATGGGTCACTACAACAATAATTCTTGTGGAATATGATTATATATTACTCTCAACACCTTTTCCACATGGGAAAAAGAACTCGAGGTTAGCCCTGGCCGGTTTGGCTCAGCGGTTGGAGTGTCGGCCTGCAGTACAGAGAGACCCGGGTTCGGTTCCCGCTAAGGGCACGTACCTCGGTTGCAGTTTGTCCCCGGCCCTGGTTGGTCGTGCGGGTGGCAGCCACTCGATGTGTCCCTTCATGTCGATGTTTCTCTCCCTCTCTCTTCCTCTCTCTCCCTCCCGCTCTATCTGAACAAAAAATGGAAAAATGTCCTCGGGTGAGGATAAAAAAATAAAAAAAAGAACTCAAGGTTAAGAGGCTCGAAATCAATAACAAATACTGAGGATAGAGAATTCCATCTTTTTAAAAAAAAAATTATTTCTGGCAATAACTCTTTTTATTGATTTGAGAGAGAGACACACAGAGAGAGTAACATTGATCTGTTGCTCCACTTATCCACGCATTCATTGATTGATTCCTGTATGTGCCCCAACCAGGATCAAACCCTGGCATATCAGGGCAATGCTCCAACCAACTGAGCTCTCTTGGCAGGGTGAGAATTATCTTATTCACCACTGTGAATAGAGCCACATAGACTGGTTGCCTCCCGCACGACCCAACCAGGGCCAGAGACAAACTGCAACCGAGGTATGTGCCTTTGACCAATATCAAACCCGCAACTCATTGGTCTAACTGCTGAGCCAAACTGGCCAGGGCTATTCTTTTTTTCCAATTAATTTACAATCATTATTTTGTATTAGTTTCAAGTATATAGCATAGTGGTTAGACAATCATATACTTTACACCATGTCCCCTCTGATATTTCCAGTACCCACCTGGCACCATAGTTATTACAATATTATTGACTATATTTTGTATGCTATATGGTTGTTTTTTATTATTTTATTTTTTATTTTTTATTTTATTTTATTTTTTTTTATCCTCACCCGAGGACATTTTTCCTTTTTTTGTTCAGGTAGAGTGGGAGGGAGAGAGAGGAACAGAGAGAGAGAGAGAAACATCGATGTGAAAGGAACACATCGAGTGGCTGCCACCCGCACAACCAATCAGGGCCGGGGACAAACTGCAACCGAGGTACATGCCCTTAGCGGGAACCGAACCCGGGTCTCTCAGGACCGCAGGCCGACGCTCTAACCGCTGAGCCAAACCGGCCAGGGCTATTATTTTATTTTTTAAAACATTTCTTTTTGCAATAAAGAGGAAGGGAGAAATAGAAACATCAATCTTGCACAAAATGCCTCCTGAACGCCTCCTACTGGGGGTCGAGCTGGAAACCCAGGCATGTACCCTGATGGGGAATGGAACCAAGAACTCATAGTCCATGGGACTGAGCCGCACCAGTACAGAAATTGTTTGCTTTTTAAATGAATGAGATGAATAAACAGTGAACCCTGGCCAAAGCCCTTTTCTTTCCACACCACTCAGCTTTCCCTGACATACATTTATATAGTTACAAAATTCATACTGGATCTTGATTAGAGCTCAGTTCTTCAGACTTCCAGCTCCATACTCTCCATTAGGCTACTCTACCACAGAATCAGAGAGCAGTGACAAACTCAGAATTTAAAAACAACGTTTTCTTTCCTTCTATTTGTGCACACCCTTAGAGGTAAGCCAAGAAAGCAGGTGCTATGCCAAGTGATTTGAGAGAGCTTTAACAAGTATTTCTGAACAAAAATATTTTGTTCTCAGATCTGTGAAAGGCCCCAAAATGTCATAATTAGAGATTGATACATTGCATCATGGATATTAGAGCTGAGTCTCAGAGATCTAGTCTAACCCCCTCATTCATTTGAATTTGGAGGCTGTTCCTCAAGAGATCCTAATTAAAAAGTACATGCCCCTGCCTGGCCGGTGTGGCTCAAGTGGATTGAGCATCCTCCCATGGACAGAGAGGTCCCAGTTCGATTCCCGGTCAGGGTACATGCCTGGGTTACCGGGGCTCAATCCCCAGTGCAGGGCATGCAGGAGGCAGCAGATTGATGTTTCTCCCTCACATCAACATTTTTATTTATCTCTCCCTTCCTTTCTTTCTAAAATATCAATTTTTTTAAAAACTTATTTTTAAAAAGTCAATAAACACACACACACACACACACACACACACACACACACACATAGACCCAGAGACATAGAAGTAGGGTTCAGACTGACAAACTTCAGAGAAGGGGGTGGGAGGAGGGAAGAGAGAAACCAAAGAACTTATGCATATAAGCATAACCAATGGACATAGACAACAATGCTGGGGTGGGGGCAGGAGGAGGGTGTCAAGGGATGGTGGGGGGGAACATCTGTAACAAAAATAAATTAAAAAAAAAAGTACATGGCCCAGGGAAAAGTAACATTTTGTTACTATACATCCACACTTAGGAAATAACAGGTTTTTGTTTGTCTTAGGGGGTGTGGTGAAGAAAGAAATTTTATTCTATGTGAAACAGCTCAATTGTGATACAACAGGGCTGGTAAGGCAGCCCTGGGGCCCTGGCCCTGTGCAGCTAGACAGTCTGCTCTTCTTGATGGTCTGCTCTGCTCTGCTCTGGCCAGACCTCTTTTGTGTTTCAGCTTAGCCAGGGAGACACAGTCTTCAGTCTTTGATGAAAAGGGAAAGTGCAGGTTCCAGGAAATAATGACAGTTAAGTGAGAAAAAACCATACCAGAAAGAAAAACGGCCATATCCAGAAAGAAAGAAAAAAAAAATTAGGAAGACAAAGAACAAGATGAAAGGGAAGAAACAGATTTGTCTGACACAAA